ATAACAAAGTGTAAGTTTGAAGATGCTATGAATCATCGTTGATTTTTGGCAATTATTATTTTTTTACGCTCATGCACGTTTTTTTCACATAAAAAGCGTGTTTGAGCACTCTTTGTATGGAGAAGATATGCAACACCTTTCACAAAAGAAAATTGTCAAAATTAAACGATCAGTAAGCTAGTGTTTTTTCATATTACGGATATAGTTACATACATATGCGTATGCAAAAGGCATGAAAACGATCTTGCTTCACTTCGATGCCGATTTTCTGCCAATAAGTGCAGAATTTCAAACGTTTCGTTATCGTTGGGTAAAAAGTAAAATTACAAGCCAACAGGTCATATGGTCTTGGTTGTATAAAGTTTTGAGCTTTATGTTGGGGGAAAGAAAATAAAAATCAGGTGTCAATCATTATTCTTGAGTGGAAAAAATAAAAATCGCAATATAATCTTTAAGGTATCCACACACCTACGAGATTCTGTCGCAACGAATCCGCACCGTTTTTGATGCTACAGACGTTACTACGTCGAAAACGCAAGAACGCACACATTAGGGATGGGTAAATTCGATATTCGAAGCTTCAAGATTCGAATTTTAATCGAACTTTAGCTCTAAAATGACGAATTTTTGAAATCGAACTTTGTGGTGCTAAAATTCGGATAAAATCGAATTTTTCTAGAAAAAATCGAATTTCGTCTTCATTTGCAAAAAATCAGCTCTGCAACTTTCTTCTTTCTGACAAAATTTGGCATCTCTGTGTGTGGCACCATATAAAAACCGATATTTTTGATGCAGCGAATGAATTAAAAATATACAAGAAAATGGAATAATTGGAACTTCGATAAATGTGGTGACGTGCAATAATGTTAATGACATTAATATTCACTTTTCAATTGTGTATTAATGTCAGCGGCATTAATTCGATTGACATTAATGCACGTCACCATAAATGTTTAAGTATTAACTCACAGTGAAATGTATTTATAGTTACACATCTCAGCTATACAAATTAATTCATAAAAAATAAATAATATTTCAGATGCTTTATGATCTTAAAACTTTATCTAATGTCTGGTTTTCATTATGTCGAAATAACTGACATCAAAAACTGCTTTAAATAACAGCTGTTCACTGTTAAATCATAAAAACTGACCAAATGTAGATATCGCAGTGCATTTCAGAGGCTGTCGTCAAATTTTTTGTGGCAGGTCATTGACATCCCATTTTCCAACACTGATGTCAAATGTGAAGTGTAATTTTTTGCATGAGTCAAAATTACCGGCCGTTTAGCTATGGACAAACCAAAAATGTGGCTGGGTAGAACTCTTCATGCCCTTTTATCTATTTTGTTAATTGTTTACTTAAAGATCTCGCTTTAAAAAGCAAAATCATACGTTATCATTAAATGTAAAAGTATGTTCACATATCAATATTATCTCAATCAAAGCTCGTTTTTTAATCACCCCGTTTACACAGGCAAATTTCAGATTATTAGCCGTCAAATTTGTTGAAAATGAAGATAATCTCCTTATATGTGAACCTAGTATAAGACTTTTTTAATAAACATACGTATGATTGCATATGTATTTAACGTGAAGTATTCAAAAATTTCTTTGTTTTTTCTAAAGCAAGAANAAAATGAAGATAATCTCCTTATATGTGAACCTAGTATAAGACTTTTTTAATAAACATACGTATGATTGCATATGTATTTAACGTGAAGTATTCAAAAATTTCTTTGTTTTTTCTAAAGCAAGAAAAATAAATGAAATTATGTTATATGCCACAAAAAATTAGTTTCAATATGCTACATTTGCCAAATTTTTGGATTTTTTATATATTTTTTTGAAAAAAAAAAATAAATTTATTTATATTTATTTTTGGTTGTGAAGCAAAAAAGAGCGATATGGATAGTTAATCATATTAATATAAGTTCATCTGAATCTCTTTTTCGATTTGAGTTGTCATTCTTACAAACAAACTTTTAAATTTTCAGATTTTTTTTGTGAAAATTCGAAAAAATTCTAACTAAATCGAATTTGCACCACCAAATTTCGAATCGAATAATCGAATGGTTGGGCAATGTTCGAAATTCGGAAAAAATCGAATTTGAACCCCCCACTACCCATCCCTAGCACACATCTGTGCGATTTTATCGCAGTAAATCAATCAATCAATGTCAATTTATAGACAAACAAAAAATATTTTTCAACAAAAATAAACTTCTTAACTTTTCTACATCAAATATGTTTTGTTTTTTTTACGTTAAATTTTGTTTTAATATTGTTAAATCCTTCTATTGACCTTTTTCGTTATCAAAACGCTACAGTCTGCGATTTCGGCACGAGGAAAAGAAGAACTGCGCATGTTCGAATAAATCGCTGCAGCAAAATCGTATAAGTGTGTTGTTCCTCATTTAAAACTATGGTCGGCATTGTTGTAATTTTTGTCGGACCGACAGAATCGCATAGGTGCGAAAAAAATAAAAATCAAAAGTAATCCTTATGCTCAAGCAAGATTATAAAACTCAGAATCTGAGTATTATTCTTGAGTGAAAAAATAAAAATCGCAAGATAATCATTATTCTTGAGTGAAAAAATAAAAATTGAAGGATAATCATTATTCTCGATCAAAAAACTTAAAATCAAGGGGTAATCATTATTCTTGAGCGAAAAAATAAAAATCATATTTTAATTATTATTTATAATTTTTTTAGTAAAACTTGAAAAATAAAAATCATTGTAAATTACGGTATGACATACAAAGTTGGATAAGTGCGTATACATAAAATTGCTGTACGACACTTACAACATGTCGATTTTTTAATTCAAATTTAAAAAATGATTAATGATTATTTTTCATCCCAGTATACAATTGCACAAAATGAGCTGCAAGGTGGCGCTGGAGTCGAGTTATTGCTAAAAATCGTCAAGTGGAGTCACTCGGAGACAACAAGGATCAAAGTTAATTTCCTACCGTTAAATCAACCACCAGAACCATTGCGGTCCTTGCTTTACGCCGACTAAACAGAATAAAGATTATTCTTAATAAATGCCTACAAATACGATTGTAAGACAACTAAGGTATTTCGTCTGAAATAAGTCTATGTATATTGGATTTATGTGGACTAATGAAAACGTGGACTAGTTAGACCGTTGGACCAAATGTTTAAATAAAAAGAAATTTTAGGCGTGACGAAGTGCGCCGGGTCTGCTAGTAAGCTTATAAATATAAACTTATTATAAATGTTAAAAAAAAGCTTTTTATAAGCGTTTAAATATAAATTTATAATAAGTTTCAAAATAAGTTGCTTATAAGCGTATGAATATAAACTTACTAAAAATTTTCAAAATAAAGCTTTTTATAACCATTTATTTAAACGATATTTCATTAATAAGTCATACATAGATTGTTTAACATCTACCCGCCCTTATTGTAGCACCCTTTATATTAACACTGTGGAACATAAAAACAAACCTAGAGTGCGCATATATCAGGTTTGATAACTGTTGGCCATACGAACAATGCCACATACTCAGATTTACTGGCTCAATTCGTGTTCTCGAGAAAACAAGATTTCAGGATCCGAAAATCTGAGTATAGCGGCCAAATTTTTTTCTCCAAATTTTTAAATGTATCGTTTTTTGGTCTATGTATATTTGCTTTGTATGCTATTTTCAATAAATATCGGCCAAAAAAAGAAAAAAAATTTGGCCTCCGTACTAAGATTTTTGGATCTTGAAAACTTGTTTTCTCGAGAACTCAAATTGATCTAGTAAATCGGAGTATGAGGCATTATTCGTATCGCCAACAGCTATCAAACCTGATATATGTATCCGCACTCTAGCTTTTTGTACTCCACAGTGTAACATATGTAGTAACATCCAAATATTCTGTAACAAATGTGATATTGAAACTAAAAGAAATGCAAATTTTCTGCGGACTCATCTACACTGGCTAAAATATATATAGAGAAGAGACATTTTAGCATTTTTTGGCCACTTAAAAAAAATATATGTACAAAAACATATAAATTGATGATAACACACAAACATTAAGGGCCGTTTTCACCATCTCTGGTTAAAACTAATCTCCAGTTAAACACCGTTACCGACGTTATCGACGCAATGTTATATGCATGGAGTCAGTAACGTCGGTAACGATGTTTAACTGGGGGTTAGTGTTAACCAGAGATGGTGAAAACAGTCCTAAGCATAAAAAAGTTAATTATTATATCTTGTTGCGTGCAGCAGCTTTCAATTACATGCGGTTATTGGCGAATTGGAAAAGCAGCTACATATTCCGCTTGATCGGCGCCATTCTCATGGATTAAGGTTTCTGAAAAAAATTTAATAACTTTTTAATTTAATGTAAAGGCAAGCAATGATAAGGAGGACGCATCATTTGAAGGCCCGAATGTTCCGCCGATTAGCGCAGCGGTCCTTGATTGGAAGTAACGTTATGTTCAATTTGTTCTCCGCGGACTTCACTCTCCTTAAGAAAACTTATAATTTCTTTATGTTTAGGCCACTCTCCTTTTCACCTTATTATTTATTTATTATATTTTTTCTTCTAATAATTATGATTAAAATACATTTAAAAAACGTAAACACGCACTTACAATTGAAAAAATGTTATATTTACAGCTTCATACCGTTGGCATTTGCATTTCATTTTTAAGTGTAGGTGATTTATAAACATCCGCTCTCAACACTTAATAAAGGTTCATTTGAAAAAGCTTTAAATAAACTGAATATTAAAAACGCTTATTTAACGCTTATTATAGCAAACTTACTTAAAGTTATTTTTAAAAACATTTACTGAAATGCTTGTTGGGTACATTACCATGCGTAAAGTTCTGAATTTATGAGTACTATAAAGATTACTTACCAGCTTTGTCGGTTCTGCAATTCTTTCAAGTTGACTTTTATTGCTACTGCGTAATTAAAACCACTTACTTATTTCACAGTAGTTAAATTCTAATTAGGTGAGATTAAGCATACATGACTTCTTTGTACAAAGTACTTGACAAAAGCATAAAAATAGATCCCCATACAAACTACTATATGGACGATAATACATACGTAAGTATTGTATGTATGTATATCTTTAAGTTAGAATGAATGAAAAAATTCAAAATACATATGACCTTAGTCTAACCTTACTTAGAAATACCGAGCAGGTAATAAAAGTTCTGCCTAAAGTTGCTCAGTCCCTTTTTGGTGCGCTCTTCTTCGCGTAAATAACCCAAGCGCTGCTTGTGCAGTAGCCATTCTGCGTGTATCTTTGGATCTGCCGGACCCCACTTTGGACTAGGTGTTACGCCCTTTTTGATTGTCTAAGTTGGTGGAAGGAAATATTTTTACTTAAATACAATTGTAATTATAGTTGTATATCGTCGTTATCAATGCAAAACACGTTTTAATACTCTGTTAGCCACTTCGAGAATTCCTATCGAAAACTTAAATTTTCACAAAAATTAGCTTTTAATGTGTAGCAAAATCTTTATTTGATTTAAGAGCTATCCATGATATTAAATCCAGCTTTATTAGGGGATTCACAAGACGTTTTAAAGATTTTAAAATTTGTAAAACTTATCAACATAAAATAAATTTTTAGAGGATTACGGGTTAACTACATATGTACATCAAGCAGTTTTTAAATTGGTAGAAAATAAAAACATACATATGTACATATATTCTATGTGTATAATTGTCTCTTATTATAGACTGTAAGTCCCCTACAACCATTTTTATTACATTGAAAAATGTTATGACTTGGACATTGCGACGCTTAAGATGTCTTGAAAATCCCCTATCTATGTACGTATGTATATACTTTTTATCATAGTAAAATCAAATTAACGTCGAGGATAGCCACGATGGAAATAAAGCGAAAGGCAATTTGAAAGAAAAAACTAAGGGCATATTTGGGTCAGAGACCCAAAACAAGTCTAAAATAAACCATGATAAAACAGAAGGTAGTTTCAATAAACAACTAATTGACGGATGTTGCTAGCACCGTTACCCTATTGTTAATATTTAAAAATAAATTAGGGAATTGCGAGATGGGAATTTCTTTCACAGTTAATGGGTGTAAATATTTTAGTCTTCTTAGATGAATCCATGCTCGGTGGCTCATAACCTCCGCCTAGGGCTGGGAACTTCATCCGGATTTTTCAACTATCCGGATTACCCGAATATTCGAATATACGGATACCTAAATGAAAAATCCGGTTACTCTGGAAGCTAAGATAATGGCTGAATTTCTTTATTCATTCTGAACTTTTGGACTACACTTTTTTGTTTATTTATTCTTAAGAACGTTCCTGATGATATGTTGACGTATATCTCAAAAGCATTCTGTTTATTCCGGCTGTGAAATGGGATTATCCGGAATGTATAAAGAAACGCAGCCAATATTTGGCTATCCGAATATCCGGATTTTTCATTATCAAAACGATATTTTCATTTCCCAATACCAGGCGCTAATAAATGTGTAGTAACAAGTTTTCTATTTCTATGCACAAAATCGTATGTATAAATTTTTAAATTTTCAAAATTCTACTTTGGAACGAATTAAAAAGTTCAAAAAACAAATTTATGCGTATAGAAAACTTGCTACTTCATATGCATGAGCGCCAGGTATTGGGAAATTAAAGTATCGTTTCGTAAAAATGAAAAAAAAAATATAAAATTGACCGCGAGAGTTTTTTCATGGCTTTAAAATATCATGGACGGAATAATGAAAGCTGTTACTGTACTTTTGGTCGTGGTGAATGCTTTACTAATTGTAGTATTTCTAAAAAAGTGATGACAAGAATAGTGCCATTTGTTTATATTGTGACAAAACGATACAAAACAAACGGTCAACTTCAAGTCCGTCAAGAGCTAATTCACTCTATCGTGTGCTTAACTCAGTAATCAGTTTGATGTATTGTGGAAAGATTTTCCGTCATCTCTTGACAAATTTGCTTTGGACACCGGTTTTCGTTTCAGTTTACATCACACTCCTACCCTGTCGAAAACACCAACAACGAAAATGAGAATATTAATCAGTTTGTTGATTTTTTTTTGGATATCCGAAAATACGAATATTAACCGGATCTTCGTAAATCCGGATATCCGAATAATTGCACAAGCGAATATTAACTGCATATCCATACTATCCGGATTTTATTCGTGTCAACGGATAATCCGCATGGATATCCGGATATTCGAATATGCGGATAGTCCCAGCCCTACCTCCGCCCCTACAGGACGGCCTACTGCTATCTATTCTGACAGCCAGGCTGCTATCAAATCTCTCAACTCTAACGGAACAACGTCCAAAGTAGCCATAGAATGCAGGAAGATTCTCAACCTGCTGGCATTAAAATGCTCCTTGACTATTGTATGGGTCCCGTCCCTGGACACAGGGACATTCTTGACCACTGCCTAGCCGACGAGCTGGCTAGGAGGGGCGGAAATATCTGAAGTCAATTCTGCTCAGAATGCGGGCATACCTCTAACCTCCTGCAAACACAGAATAAAGGCGGAACTCGTCGAGGAGGTAAATATTAGATGGGCTGCCATACTACCAGGCAAATTTGGAGAAATATTAATGTAAAGCGATCCATAGCTCTTACCCGGCTGGACCGCTCCTCTCTNCGAAATATTAATGTAAAGCGATCGATAGCTCTTACCCGGCTGGACCGCTCCTCTCTCAGATTAGTAGTCGGGGTAATCACCGGGCACTGCCTGATGGGCACACACGGAAAAAGGCTAGGATACCCCACCAACGATTTTTGTCGCAGTTGCAGAGACGAGGAAGAGATGGAGACCGTTGAGCACTATCTCTGCCATTGTCCCGCCCTGGCCAACGCGCGCAACCAATTCTTCGACAAGTACTTTCTAGATTGCTTAGCCGATTTGAACTCGGCGAACGTCCTCGACTTTTTGTGCTATATAAAACGCACTCGATGGTTCAATTACTAAGGAAGGGTAAGAAAAAATGGCTTCGGCCAGTGGTATCACAACGGACTTTTCCAGCCCACGTGTGCTCCGCGCTCTGCGCGGGCAGCCACTCCGACCTAACCTAACCTAACCTAGACGAATCCAACCAAGTCTAGTATGAATATGTACATAAAAAGAATGGAATTTTACTTCGAAATACAACGGATAATGGCATATCTGCTTACGTTTATGGTATTTCTCACCTCTACCCCAAACTGAAAATTTATCTGTATGTACGCTCACTCCATTATATCTGCGTACACCCTTCTTTTTTTTTAATATTCACAAAGTTTTGTAAGCTATAATTTTTTTGTTATTTTTGTACTAAGGTATGGCTACATGCTACAGAGAAAATCATATAAATCAAAGTTTCAGTCTGGGCGTGTGTGAATCGGTAACAAACTTCTATGGGGAAAGCTGTTGAATAANAATATTCACAAAGTTTTGTAAGCTATAATTTTTTTGTTATTTTTGTACTAAAGTATGGCTACATGCTACAGAGAAAATCATATAAATCAAAGTTTCAGTCTGGGCGTGTGTGAATCGGTAACAAAGTTCTATGGGGAAAGCTGTTGAATAATTATTTTACTATGGTGAGACAGTTTTGCCAATCTGCTGTGTGAAATGAAATATTTTTTGACAGCAGTAAATTTTTGATAACCGCATATTTATGAAATTAATATTTTAAGAACAAATCTACCATCGTTGATTGCAATTTATCAATTTAAGCTTTTATTTAACGAAAACTTACACACATCAACAATCTTTGCGATTGTCAAAATTTTGTATTCATTTGTCAAAAATTTTACTAGCCTCATGAGCTACTGAATTTTTATTCACCTTATTGTTGTCAAAAGTTTACTCTTCACACACGCTTTCTGCATACAAAATTAAGGAAAATTTAACGAATTTGTTCAAAATTTTAAACTTTTTACTCAGATTTTCTAAGAAATTTTCTGGTATGCAGTTTTATAGCACATTCAATTTTAGTATAACAGTGTACAAATTTGAAGTGGCTAGGAAATTGCGTTCATTTTTAATAATTTTTGCTGACGGCTCTAGGCATTTTTCTTCATACAAGATATGAGTGATTTTTTTTTTTATGAAAGAAAATACGTATTATTCGTTTCACAAGCGTTCTCCAAGTTGGAGGCTGCAAGAAAAATTCATTCCTTTTCTATGTTTTGACCAACACAGTTTTTCATTAGCTTTCATTTCGCGGCACTGCACTTTTGGAGAGTATGGTCTTGTTCTCGCTAATGATCTATGGTAGCAAAATGTTGAGAACATATGTACGTACGGATATCTTAGAAGCGCTGGAAGTTAAAAAAAAATTGTACCGTGTTCCCTGCAATGTTATTTTATATTTCTGCGCAACTCATTTTTCTTTTTATTATTTTAAGGAATTATTTTATTTTTTGCTGTCGATCAAATTCTTTTCAGAAAAAAAATTTATTATAATTTTCAATCTGGTAGCTAGATTTTGATGAAAATTTCATAATCCCAGCGAAAGTCAAATGGCTAATATGTCATTAAGTGAAACTACCTTCTTTTTTTCTACAATGGAATAAACTAATGGCGTTCTAGCATTTGTTTTGAATTCTGGTATTTGAAATGTAAAGTACTTTTGATCAGCTAGGCATAATGTCAAGGCGAGTTCATACAAGGTGTTTCATAAATAGAAAATTTGTATGCAAAGTAACTTCAGAAAGCTCTTTAAAGCTATTTTAATTTTTTATGAATAAGGACATAAAAAAGTACAACAAATAAATCATTTTGACAATCAGCACAATTGGGCTTGAAACCAGCCGCCAGCCGGTAACAATACTTTTTATGAATTCGCCTTGCATCATGTTTTTAACAATTTACCTATTCTTGTGTTGCCGGACCGTTGTCGAATTTTGTGACATTCTGACAAGTTACCCGGCATTTATAAGTAAACTGACAACATTAAACACGACCAGCTTTGTTTAGGTCAATACTAAGTATAATACCGTTATGCGCGCGATTTTTTTATGCATTAACAAAACCATATCACCTTTCTGAGGTTTTAGACCAAGCCCTGCCGTATGTAAGAATTGCCTTTAAATATAAAATGGTTTGATGTACATTTTGTTGTATTAAAAATTTTCGTATTTGTCATTAACAACGATGATATAAACATAATTTTATTTTTCATCACTACCTTTCCAAAAGAGATATCTTTGTGTGTAGATAAATACCAAACACCCCATAGGGGAAATTGGAGAAAGCCTATCACAAGTAACACCCAACCAGAAACTGTAAAGGAATGCTAATTAGATTTTTGTATTTAATTTCATTAATATATATGTATGTATGTATTTATGTATAAAAACAAAACGGTGAAGTTAAAAAAAGTTAAAGCTGAAAATAGATAAATTTATTCAGTGTGTGATATTAGTGGTATTCATCTAAACCGATAACTTTATCAAGCAGATATTCTTATAAATTTAAGCACTCTGTTATCTGTATCAGTAATTTTATACTACTAGCACGAGGATTAAGAAATTTTAGAAATGACCTCACTAAATGCGAAATAATTATATTTAGACGAGAAAATATTCGTTTAAATAAATATCTAACATAAAGGCGATTTATTTGAAGCGAGTTAAAAGGCACAATGTCTGTTTGTGTATGAATTCATTTGTCACTGCTACCAAACTGTGCGGCCAAATTATCAGTGAATAAAACAAAACGGAACGGATAATAAATTGAACTAGATTTGCGTGCAAAATTTGTATGCGGATCTCGAAATGTGTAAACGAGCTTCTATACAAATTTTGACCGTTAATTTATAAGGTTTACACAATTAAAAGTTTATACGGTTTATAATGTATTTATAAGGTTTGATGAATACCCTTATTATTATTTTGTATGTACATATATCCAGATGTTATACTTACTTTCAACAGAAGTAGGATATGACCATGTTGCATAAGTTAACGGTTCCATAACCACAAGGGAATAAATAAATATTACCGCCAAAAGTATTGGAGTTATTATACCCCAACAAAGGCGCCAGTAAATTGATACTTTACGGTTGGTCATGAATTCCACGTCATCACAAAAGTTGCGAAGCCCTAAATAAATAATATATGTACATATGTATGCATTAGAGATATTTCGAATGTCATATCTTTCACATTCGCGAATACGAATGCGAATGCTAATGTTAGGAATAACACTAAAAAAAGCTATAATTAACAAATTCATCGTTTTATAAATTATTATAACATTGAACCAGTGCTTAACCTATGCAGTGTTTTAATCTATTAGTCAAAGTTCAAAAGGGGCATATTAAATTTCAGAAAATGTGATTTTGTTGCCTTTTCTCCCATAAGGCGATTTCTTAGAGGCTCGTATATAAGGCCGGCTGCACTGAACAATTGCTCACTTTCGACAATTAAAGTACAAAATTTAACTAGTGGTGATTTCGTTTCATCCAAAAAATGTGGCCCTTCTCCGGTGCAAAGGAGCATGTTTTTGCCTTCTTGTCCGTGTCTAGCTCACGCGATTCATAATATTGTCCTCTTAAGCAACTATAATGGTATTCACCAAAGTGAGCAAGTGGCCTGGCAGTCTAGCAAAAGAGCAGGTCAGCTCAAGCAACCAATTTTTGCTAGACCGCCAGGCCACTTGCTCAATTTGGGGAATATCACTTATCTGATTTACTCCTGACAAAACATCAAAGGGTAGGGAATGTGCCTTTTTTGTCTTACAAGAATGTGACATTTTAATAAACAAACAAAAATTTGTTCACCCTTGGCCTTTATTTTGGAATCGAACACGAAAAGAGAAAGGGCAAACAAAAGGCGAAATATAGAGGAAAAAGTGCAAACATTAACAAAAAATGCGAGCACATTTGAGGGCGCCCAATTAGATCTAAATATTTCTATATAAGAGTTGTTTTGCCTGTAAAATACAAAACGTTAAATTGAAACAACCCTGCAAAAAATGCGACTAATCCGGGATGACTCCGGGAGCAATCGCAAAGGAACATGCGACTAATACCACTTTCGATCACTTCATATGGAATGAACTGTTCGCTTTTGTTCGAACATGTCCTATGAAGAGACTAACCCCCCTATTATGAATTCGTACGATGCACGATAGACCCTTGTATTGTGAAATTCTCAGTGTTGCCACAAAAACAAATACCAAACTCCTCCAAAACAAATGAAAAATCCTCAGAATCCGGACTAATTACTCAATATTTTCTTATTAGAGATATGTGTATTGTGTACTGCATACTATTTACAGGTACTTAGTATAAAAATTAATGACATTCTCCAATTCAATTGGTACATTTGTTCTTGCGGTTCAAACAAAATATCACCGTTGTTTTTTATGTCTTGGTATATAATATTGTATATAATATTGCTGCAACTATATCAGTGATCAATCTTGTCCTCAAGTCAGTCCTACACATTTTAAACTACTAAGTATACGTTCTACTGAAGCATTAGAAAGGGGCTTTATTAGCAATGCAGATATATATATTTTTTTTTAATTGGGAAACTTATATGAACCTGAAGAATCTTTTAATTCAAAAACTTTTTTCCTACAATTTTCTGGATCTAATGAAGAATCAGTATGAATATCCTTATGATCGAACAATGCGTGTTCTCTCCATTCGTTACCGAGATTTTGTAAGTTCAAAATACATAAGTTGGAAATATAACGATGGAATCAAAAAAATTATCGATAACATAATAAATACGGCGATGAGATACGAATGAAAGCGGGCGTGTTTTGGCTGCGCTCCGCGATTTTTTATGTGTTTCGGGCTTGTTTGGCCTATTAAAGGGCCAAAGCTAATGCACGCTTAACTTAAGGCGATCAAGACAGTGACTTTCTTCTTTAAGCTAAATTGCTAAAAAAAAAATAAAATAAAATAAAAATAAAACTAAAACAAAAACTAATTATTAAATTAATATGCCCTGTGTTTCTGGTCAAAGAGTCGAAAGAAGTGCTAAAGCAAAAGTGCAATGTGCCAAGTGCAATGACTTTTTTCATTTGGGATGTGTTGGTGTCACGTCAGCCGATGTGGAATTCCTACTTAGCTCGGCAAATCATTATTTTTGCAAAATCCCGATGTTCGTCGCAAATCTCTCCGCACACCTCCTCCTGTAGATGAGAATGTGGTATTAACAAACGATACTCACTCGTATAATTCGTTGTTGCCGCAACTCGACGTTTGTAGGAGAGAGCACGACGAGGAAAGGAGAGGGGCACCGAGTTGCTCGTGCTCGGGCAACACGCTTTGTGCTCTCGTTCGTCTGTGTAAATTGAATTAGCGGTTCACAGTTGACAACAACAATTGCACACACAAAAATCGCCGTGTGTAAATGAAACGAGCAACACCAAAAGGGAATGTGAAAAATCGCGTCGACAAAAGTTTCCGTGTATAAACGCAGTCTAGATAATGCGAAAACAATGCCTAATGTGGATAGCGCAAATGAGAATGTGATGTCAACAAACGCAACTAACTCGCATACCTCGGCACAAGTAATTGAGAATGCGATGTCAACATACGAAAACAATGCGTAATGAGAATAGTTCGCAAATCTCTCTGGCTACATTATGTAGTGAACTTGCTGCTTTTAAGTCTGAGTATGCTCGTGCAATGCAAATGATTAGTGCTCTTCATACAGACAAACAGCTCTTGATAAACAAAACAGATGAGATGAAATCAGAAATCAAAGCCATGCATAAACGTCAGTCCGAAGATATTGCCTCTGCCTTTGCGTTGCTCACTGCTGAGGTTAAAGATCTTCGTTTGTGTGTAAATGCATGCGAGTGCCGTAATAAAAATGTGAAAAGTACGAAAAATAAAACTATGCAAAAACACTCTTCGTCTTCTACTCTGTCTGATGCTACTCAAAAAATTAACTCATCATCATCTTCTTCGTTGCCTGCTGATACCCTCGTTCCTGCTTTTCCTGCTGACAATCATTCCAGCTCGTCCGTAAGTGAACTGAGCGGTGCGCCTGTTAAGGCGGCTCAAATGAGTGAACAACGTAACTCTACTGCTGATTGTGAGGCCTCTATCTCAGCGCCTGCTTCTTATGCTGATGTCGCTAACTCTGCTTGTGTGGCTGAGCATAATAATATTTCCTCTGCTACCGCTGATACTGCTGTTTTTGACTCTGCAAGTATGTTTACCAAAAAACCCAGCAAGAAATCAAAGCCACATGCCATCATTGTTGGTCGCAATAATACTGCTGAATTAGATGTAGCGCCAAGATTGAAATGGCTACATTTATCTTCTTTCAAGCCTTCAGTCACTGCAGATAATATCAAAGCGTATGTGTCAAAGCATTCATCTACTGATTCAAGCACTATCTCCTGCTATAGACTCGTCAAGGGGGATGTCTCTGAGGATTCATTGAGATGGGTTAATTTTAAATTGGGATTTCCATCGACGCTTTACGACACCTTGCTTAATTCGGATCTTTGGCCAGCAGAAGTAAAAGTTCGTCCTTTCAAGTTTTTTCAACAACCGTTGAATGTGGAAGGAGGTACTTAAGTCCTATGCAGAAAGCAGTATTGCAGAATCATGGTGAAAAACGTCTAAAAATATATTACCAAAATGTTTCTGGCCTTCGTACAAAATGTTCGGTGGTGCGAATGTTAACCACTCACTTAGATTACGATATTTATGTTTTAGTCGAATCATGGCTGAATGACAACTTTTTTGACAGTATCGTAAAGACCGAGACTCTGCTAAAACGGGTTGTTCTAGAGGTGGTGGTGTGCTTATAGTTGTTCAACGTGGGCTTAAAGCGTCGTTGGTAACGCTCGCTAATACTGACTCTCTTCTTGATCAGCTTTGTGTGTGTGTACATGGCTCCTCTGAACTTCTATACATTTGTGCCTCATACGTTCCGCCAAACAGCCCTGATAGTCTTTACTTCGCACATACTGATAATATTGTTTCGCTGGTCTTGGACACAGTTGGAGATAACCATGTTTGCGTTTGTGGCGATCTTAATTTATGTCGTCTAAATTGGTCCTCAAAGCCTGATTCAGTTGACTTAAAGGCATCAAATGTGAACTCTTCAGCCGAGATCTACGTCATTGATAGTTTGCTTAGTATAGGCTTACTTCAAATCAATAGTGTTTTTAATAAACTTAATAGGCTCTTGGATTAAGTGTTTATTAGTACCAATGTAAACTTCACTGTATCGGAATCTATCGATCCAATCTCTCCAACAGTAATGCATCACGTCCCTCTCAACCTTGAGTTGGAGTTCTATAAATTTACTACTCTACCAGATGATCTTAGTGCCAAGTTCAATTATAAAGCCTGTGATTTTTCTTCTTTGAACAATGATTTATTAAACATAGATTGGACTGATATTTTCCTTGACAGTGATGTGGCTTCGTGTTACAGTATTTTTAAGTCAATTTTATATAAGCTGTGTTTGCAGTACACTCCCGTTCTAAAAAAAAGGTTGTATAAATTACCGTGGTATACTAAACGCTTGAAACGTCTTAAGAATTTGAAGAATAAATTCTGCAAGATGTACAAATCATCTAAAGATCCCACACATTTGCTAAAGTACCGGAATTTTCTAAATGAATTTAATTGTTTAAATAAGTTTCTATATCGAAACTATATTTACAATTTTGAAGCCGACATTATCTCAAATCCCAAATCTTTTTGGAGTTTTATTGACTCAAGAAAGTCCTGCTCATCAATCCCAACCAACGTTTTTTATAACACTCTTACTGCCAACTCTCGGCTAATCTTTTCGCGGAATTTTTCCGCTCTAATTTCGTCAACGACTCTGATTTGGACATTATGAACACATATTGTCCGAATGACTCGGTGCTCAATTTCGGCTTTTTAAGCTTTGCTATTGAGGATGTTTTTAGAGGCATTGGAACTCTTAAGCCATCGTCTCAAACGGATTCAGACGGTTTCTCAGCTCTTTTATATTTAATTTATCTTTGGCCTCCGGAACTTTTTTGGAAGACTGGAAACATACACTAGTAACTCCTATTTTTAAAAGTGGGAATAAAAATGACGTCCGTAATTATCGACCAATGTCAAAATTATCTTCAGTTTCCAAAT